GTTTTCTACCTTACCGTAGTATCGAACAGTTTAAGTCTGTCGTTTTCCGTCATTCTTAATCTCTAATACTGAACAGTATCTAACAGTATCGTTTTTTATGATCTCAGTATAGCTTACATAAATTATATCGTGTGCTTTCTATTTGTGTAGCGACGGACAACTGCGACCACCATGGTCCAAGTTCATGCAAAGAGATCTATGACAACGATCAGTAAGTTGTTGAGAAATCATTCAAAAACTACGATCTGAAGCTGGTTGGAAACTGCTTGTAAAATCTTTTCAGCACATCTACTTTGATAGATCAATACTACAGTTGTTTTCCAGTTGACGCCACAATAATGACATCAAACAAATTGCCAAACATCTGTGCACAGGGTATGATCAATTTCAATTGGCATTACAGGTTGCCATTACAATGGTATGATCTGTTAAAAACACCGCTAAATGTAGCTTTGAGAGCTTCTGTCTGTAAATATGGAGAATCAAGCGAAAGAATCGCAAATACGAACATTTTACTTCAACAAAAGACCCTTTTGTCGAACTATTTTCAGAAATATGGAATACCAGTTTTTATTTGATTCATTTGGCTATAATTATAAAAAACTGAAACATGTTTTATTCGCATTGATTTAAAAGCCCAACCGAAAACAAAGCATACATGCTCCAGTTTGGTTATAAGAAGCTTCCTGTCTACTGCTACATGGTTGGCGATGACCTTGGCGAATGTGGTGGCGGAGGATGGACGCTGGTCATGAAAATTGACGGCGCTAAGGTACAATGTAACCGTTTACTTTGCGAATAGATCTCAACATAGTCCAAATTTTACAGTTACGCAGTTAACTAAAATCAATATTTGACCTAGAAATTTTCTAACTGTGTTTAAAGAAGATTTAGAGTGGAGTCGTCAATGGTAGGGTTGTTTATTCTCTAAGCGAAGACGTTAATACATTCCGTCTTTGTTTTCTTCGACGTTACAGCCAGTTTAATTCAACTCCATAGACACATCATGCATTTAGCAAGTTGGCAGAAACATGGCCATCCAACTGAGAGTTTAAGAAAATGGAGATCAATTTCCGTGATCTTTACAATTAAATTAATTAGCTAGCCTTTTTGGTTTCAATTTCAATTCAAACCTGAAATATCCACCTCCGTAACGGTGTAATTAGGGAAAACAAGTTGAATTTAAAGTACCTGTAATAACAAAGAGAAGGTAACATGACAACAGAATGTTCCAAACAATTTAAGGTTGCCGGAT